TCAGGCTTCAATACTTCCACTTTTTACATCAGAATAGGTGGTTTGTTATAACTTAGTACAATACCCACTAGCACAATGGTTATCAGTTATAAAATATACAGGATTCATCTATAGGTCAACTCTGGCTTGGGCCTGTTGTCCAAGCCTTAGCACTTCAAGACAAGCTCTTGAGATAGGGCCAGGCCTCCTACACAGTCCTAGCAAGCAAGGGTCAGCTTTTCACAAAGGGCTCCTAGATATCAGGACACAGACAGCATTGTTATTGTGCTTTCAAAAGGTCCCTACCACATTATGGCTTGGCTTCTACACCCACAAAATTCAGGGTTCAGACTGAACCATTCTCAGAGTTCAGGATGGATCCAAGCACAGCCACATTTCAGGACCGTCAAGTAGCCTCTCCCTGCTTGGCTGTACAGCAAAGGAGGACAGGAAAGGAAAGGAAGAGCACAGGAAAGGATTGATCCCGTTCCCCTCACACCCAAGAGAACACCATGAGCTCCACGATGGACCGAGGGGGCAAAGGCACTCTTGGAGGTAGTCTGTAGCTCTAGTAGCAATGCAACTTCTCTACACAAGAGAGGACACACTGCCCATGCAGTTAAGCTGAAAGAAAAAACAGCTCCAACCTTCTGGGGCCCAAATTCCAAGATCACAGTGATAAAAGGGAAGGAAGAAGAGTAGCACAGCCTCTCCCACTCTTCTCTCAGCAAAAGGAGATGTGGCAGACATTCAGTATGTAACACCCTAAAGCAAAGGCAGCCTCCTGAGGAAAAAGAAAGATCCTTGGGACTATGAAACCAAAAGCACACCCCTCACTTAGCAGAAGCCTATCACACAAGAGGACATGCTCCCCAACATCCATTTGTGGGAGGCAAGAGCCCACAGCTCTGCTCAGGCAGGCCTTTGCTTCAGTGCATCTAGCTATCCTGCAGTTAGGCAATGAGAAGACGGACACACTTCACCCCACAGCAGCTCAGTACATTTCCATATATTTCATCACCTCTCCTCTGCGTGGAGAAAGAGGGAAGAGGAGAGAGGGGAAGAAGCAGATGTCTTTACACTGAAGAGGCATTTAGACTGCAAGCCTTTGGCAATCCACTCCCAAGCTGACCAAAAGCACTTCTGGGCAGTGAGCACTACGCAGAGCAACCCTGGAAATACTCTTCAAGACTCAAAAAACAACCACCCTGTCCAGTCTTGGTTTATTCCCCACTATCCAGCCCAAGTCTATCAAGACTTTAGCACTTACTATGTATTGCTACAGATGCACTGGAGAGGAAACAGGGCTCCAGCAGGTGTGAGGATACTGTCCAGGCAGACCACTGTGCCTTCCAGCTGGCGTGGAGCCAGGCTGTCTAGGACAAGTGTGACCTACTTGCTTCAAGCTCTCCAATTTCACTGTTGGTTCGCATGCATCCTAGAAATGGAGGCCTGTGGACCAAACTGAGGAAATGAGAGAGAACTGTAGTCTTGGAAATCCTTTCTTTCTAACTGAGTCACATTTCTTCTCCTAGCCATCCTTTGCCTCTCAAATACATCTCTGCAGCTCAGGTGGTTACTCTGTTCTTCCCCAAGCTGATGTGACACGACACCACTACCTTGGGGTCATGAAGAGTGAAAACCCAAAAGTTTTCACAGGAAATGTCCATAGCAGACTGATAGATTGCAGGCCGAGATGCACAAATAAAACATGACCCCTGGAGGTGCATGAGACTAGTTCACACACAGCTTAAGCCTCAGACAGGACAGATCCCATCCCTCCATGTGCACACCACTGTTTCCATAACACACACAAGTTCCCAGCTGAGCCAACATAAGTACCCCCAGAGAAATGGTGGTGGTGGAAACACACAGCAAAGGCCCACACTAAGCAGCTTGAGCCAACTACCTGCCACTTCTCAGCTGGCCATTTCACAGCCTCCTTACCCAGCTAGGTAACACATGCTGTTGCTGGATTTCAGCACATCAGTCACCTTTATAACACTGGCAGGTCAGAAAGAGAACTGTTTCCTACACTGTCACTGTGGAAGCAAGAGGAATATTAGCAATAGGAGGCTCATGAACACTGACTTAAAGAAATTTCTGTTTCTAGAGAAGATGCTTTTGTGCACTTCCCAGGCTCCATATACATTTTGCAGACCAACAGTAAAGTTAGTCAATAACCTACATTCCAATTCCAGAGTGAACTCTGCCTCTTAAAAGCGACACTGCTGTCCAACTGCATCAACAGCTTTTTATTCTCCAGAGATGACAGGCTACTGCAGCTTTCAGGAGCTGGAGACAGCTCACCATCCTTTTGACACTAAATCTGGGTGACTCATAAGTTTGGTTATCCAAGACAGATTTCACACAAGAACAAATCCATGCTTACACCACTGAAGCAGAGGAAAGCGGCTCCAAGTCCTTCACTGACACCTTGTGTCAGAAGCAGGAATTGGCTCCAGCAGAGAGGGCCAAGCAGGTTGTTCCAAGCCACATCCAGCACAGGTGTACAGCACACAAGGCTCTCTGGCTGAGAAACAAAGTGCCAGGACTTTTGGAGCTGAAAGAAGGGATTAAGCATATTATTGCAGAGGGTTTCAAGAGAAAGCTTAAGCGAAAACAGCTCTCACACCCTCCCCTCAATCCTTGTCATGTTTTCTTGCCCCTTCTTAATGCCAGCTCAGGAGCCTGTCTGACCACAGTGAGCCTATTTGGCTCTCTGTTTCTAACTCATCAAGAAGCAAGAGCTTGAATAGGCTTACTCTGTGATCAGATAAGCAGAAACAACAGAGGATCATGCAGAAAAGCATGATTTCCTCCTTCCAGCAGCACTAAGCTATCAGCCCAAGTCCTGAAGCAGAAGAGCGCCTTCAGACTGTGCTTTTGTGCTTCCAGACTGATCCAAGCACACAAGAGGGAGCAGCATTTCAGACCTGGAAGCACAACATCCTCCAACCATCAATACCTGTGACAAGCCAAATATCCAATGCCCGGGGCCAGCCCCAGACCAGCCTTGGTCCTTCAGGATTTCTCCATGGCCAAGGTGATCACTTGCTCCAGGTCTGGGACTACCTGCAGAGCCAGACTCACACACAAGAGACAGCAGCAGAGTCAAAACAGAAACAGCAGAGAAGAACATACGAGTATTTTATGCCCAGGTACTTATTTTGGCTGCTAATAAGCTAGCCACTGCCTGGATTTAGTGCAGAGAAGCATCTCAGAGAGAAAGAATGCAAGTTAAAAGCCTGTAGAGCACAGAAAACAGGTATCAAAATGGAAAAATCAGAGCCAAAGGGACAGAGGAAAGAAATGGTCTGACCACAGATGTATATAAGTGATCAAGAGCAACATGCCTTTACAGGAAAATCCCTCTAGAAGAGCACACTAGAGATGAACACAGAAAGCCAAGTGGAGGAGGAATGAGATTGGCAGTGAACTTGGAACAGCCTTCAGGCTCTGAAGGAAGCTTGACAAAGAGCACAGCAGCAGCTGCCACCACAGAGCTGTCAGGGACAGGACAGTAACAATACCAAGACAAACATATGGGAACTCCAAACCAACACATGCCAAATACAGAAAACACTGCTCCAAGGGGGAGCTACATTTGTGCAACTTGGTTCAGAAGGCAAGGAAAGGAGAAAAAGAGAAGCTGTAATTACAAAAAGACTCCAAAGAGAAAGTTATCTGCAGGGAAGGTGATAAAGTGATAGTTTAGGGCATGCTGAGACTTCTGACTAGAAAGAGAGCAGGAATACCTCCCACCACCCTCTCTGAGGCCTTGGGCTCCACAGTAAGAATGACAAAGATTGCTACAGGCAAAGAGCTGAAAAAAAGTCTAGCTGAAAAGCGGTTTCTATCCTATGTAAAAATACCCTGGGTATTTTTTAAGGTAGAGAACAAGGCACGCCACCGCACTCTGTTCCCATTCTGTTGTTTAACATTTGAGTTAGCAGCTCCCTGTAACTTGCATCCAGGGTTCAGCTGGCCAAGGATCCCTCTAGATAATTTCAATTGCCCAGTAACAATCATCAAGATAAAGCTGATGTTTAACTGGTACTTTTAGAAGAAAGACTGATCCAATAATTATAGTCCCACTGATCAAAACATCTGACATCTCTGGATGTTTCTAGCCTATTTCAATAGAGACCTGGTTTCAATCTTAGTGATTTGTGATCCAGGTTCTGGACACCAACAAGTGAAAACTGTTAAGCAGGTCACAGATACAGAGGAATACTTCAGCACTGACTAATTAAGATAAGCTGACCACAGGTGATGTGTAACACAGAGTAAAACTTTCACAGCTCTCCAGGTTTGTACACACTGATCTAGAAAAAAAAGATGATGGCTGCAAGTCAGAATTAACCTCAAAAGAGAACTCAAGATTACAGGTGAAAGGCGTTTCACCAGTGAATTTATTAAGACCTGCACTGGATTTTTTTCCACTAGCAATCCTTCAATAACAGCAGGTACTTTCCTAGGCGATCTGGTCTCCTTGAAAACTGATCATGGGTATCAAGGATTGTTAGATTACCCCAATAATCTTATATCTGGCCTTAAAAAGGTTTCCTGTACTGCCTGACATTTAGGAAGCAAAACCACAAAAACAAGACTTATCAGCAAAGCCTGACAAACCTGCCAGGCTCCCAACATCTGTAACATGTACCAGAGCTATACAGCCACCTCAAGAAAGCACTGTGAGCTCAAGCTTCCTCAAACCATCCTATCAGGTGTTGCAATCACACGGCCGGCTGACCGGGACACTGAGTCAGCTGAGCTCGAAGCGAGCAGCCGGGGCGGGGTGAGGAGGACCAAGAGCCTGTTCAGCCAAGCAGCGAAGAGGGAACAACGCCTCAGCAACGCCGCTGTCGGCTCTTTTTCCCACTACCACGCAGCCCCTCGCCTTCCCACCAGACCTCCACCCTCTCAACAGCCGAGCTTTCCCCCCCAGCCCACCGGCCAGGCCTCTCCCCTCAGTATCGGGGGTCCTCCGAGCGCCTCAGAGCCCCACCGCCACTCACCCTCTAAGCTCTCACACTGCACCAGGTTCACGTAGTCACCTTGCCGGAGCACCCCCGCCTTAAAACCACGCACCAAACCTTCCAGGTACCCGTTATCCACGTTAAAATACAGCTCGGGGAAAGACGACATGGCGGCGAGCGACGAGACGGGAGCGCTACGCCCGGCGCCTCACGTGACCCTGCGCTCACGTGACTCGCGTGCGTGCGTGTTCCCGCCCCCTTCCCGGCAGGCTGTGCGAGTGGCGGGAAGTCCCTGAGGAGATGGCGGCGGGGCCGGCTGCCTGTCCCTGCACTCCTCTGTGAGGTTTTCTCCCTCCCCAAGGAGCAAGGTTGAAGCTCCCCCTCAACCCTGTCTTCACCCAGCACTAGGCCGCAGCTTCACCTCCAGCACCGGTCTGTGGGTTTTTCAGGCTTTTCACAGACGCCTTTTTCCCCCTGAATGCACCTTAATGGTGGAGGAGGTGATGGTGCATGTCCAGACTGTGGGTGGCACCTTGGTTGCTGATTCCTTGGGCTTGACAGCTTGCAGGGTCCCTGGATGTTAAGCACCCGGGGTCACCACGAGAAGAACACAAGTGAAGCTCCCAGTGCAACTGGAATGTCACCTCCTGGGGCACCCCCTCCCTTGCTGACAGACCAATCCTCTAGCCAGAAATGGGCCTGCAGGAGCTGCTCTGGAGAAAAAAAGAAGTTACATTTTGCTTGACGTGGAGGTGCCCTGGACTCTTGGCTGTGTAGACACGATGCCCACCTGGGTGCAGGTACCCTCACCTTGCTGCTGCCCCTCTCCCCCAAGATCCCAAGCAGACACATTGAACCATTCCCGTTCAGCAACAGCTTTTGCTAACGACTGGTTTATTAGAGCTGCAGAGGACAAGGCAGCACGCATGGGCAAGGAGCAGGCAGCCCTGTGGCACGGGTGCTAGTTCTTGCCACAGGGGAAACTGGTGCTGATTTTTCTGCAGTAGCAAAAAGCATTGAAGAACCGGCAGTAGCAGGTGGCACACGGGTCACAGCAGGGGACCTGATGCCCGAGGCAGGACTCCAGGAGACGGACACAGCGGCGGGGGGAGCGCTCTTCGCGGCCCGCAGCTTGCAGTTCTGTGGACGATGCCTACTCGAGAGAGAAGAGGAAGAGGAGGGAAAGAGTTGGTGCTGGACCACTGTGCCAGAAATAAAAAACTGCGTGGGGGAGAGCCGAGTGGCTGCTGAAACCTGCCACTGCCAGCAGCAGAGTGCGCTGTCGTGCTCAACTCCAGGCTCGGTCTGTTAGCAATCACTGCTGAGCCCGGTAGGCCCTCTGTGGGAGTCCGTGCCTCGTCCACTATATCTCAAGGCCTTTATGCACACATATATTTTGAAGCGCAGCCTTGACTTTAATGAAGGGTGCGGTGCCCGCTGCCCGAACAGAGGCACCAGGGGTCGAGCCAGGCAAGACACTGCACTGCCCACTGAGCTCTTGCTCTGCGGAGGCTTCCTGGACTGCCCTTCAGGTTCATTAAATGGCTTGCAGGAGTACGGGCTTGGATCACCCTCCTTTGAGTGCAGAGCCACTTGCATCTGTGAGCAGTCTCAGCTCATCCCAGTCCTGGCTGCTCCACAGCAGGCAATGAAGAGATACTCCCTTCCCACGCAGCACTATGTTGGGCTCCAAACTATGTTGGGCTCCAAAGCTCTCTCCCCAGGGGCAGAGAAGGCTGCCATGGCCCAAGGCCACCTCACAATTTGGGGTGTCTGTAAGAAAGCTCAGGAAGCCTTACCTGAGGTTCCAGCGCACCGCCTCTCTGCATGAGGTCACTGTTAGCTTCTTGGACCTCCAGGGCCATCTGCTCAAACCCCAGCCTGGGGAGAGCTCCTGCAAGATACAGAGGCTGGACAAGGACAGTTGTGATTCCACTCCCCATGGTCCCCACATAAAAGCCCATCACTCCCTGTGGCTGACAGCTGCTCTCACTAGCCAGTGGTAGAAGAAGCTGCGCTACTTTAAGGGGATCCTCTGCATCTGAGCCTGGGTGTGGGATCCCCAGTTAAATTTTTGGGGCCCTGGGTATGCCAGTGAGCAGCGGGGGGTGGGGTGTGGGGAGGAGGGAGAGGCCCACAGGACTCACCTGCTGGCTCCGCAGACACCTCCTTGACTTTCTGTAGCAGGCTGGAGTAGCGGGCTCTGTCCGTCCCCTCAAGCCCACCGCTCACCTTCTGCAGGGGGCCGCAGCTGAGGTCGGCAGTGAGGATGGCCTGGATCCCCTGCAGCAGCCCGCAGCACAGCAGCAGGATGTTCAGCATGGTCCTGGGGGACAACCTGCACAGAGGGGTCCCAGCCAGTGTCAGCCTACCCGCTGGCAGCCTGGCCTGGCTCCTGTGCCTGCCCTGCCACCAGCACCACCTCCACGCCCGGCTGTTTGCTCTCTTGGACTTGAGAGCCTTTCTTGGGCCACCACACACCTGGGAGCTTCACATGGACCCTCTAGAGCTGACACACATGCGATCGGGCACCCCACATATAGGCACGTTCATGATCTCGCTGCAGAGGGGATGAGCAGCAGAGGATGGACTGAGATTTGATCTTTTTTGCAATGCTTCAGGGTCTCCCCTTCAGCAGCCGCCAGACCATCACAGCACCATGCACTCAGTGCCTGCATGAGCATGGGATGTGGCCAAAACATCCAGCAGAGCTCCTGCCAGGCACTTGTGTTCACAGATCGTGAAAACTCCACTCGTTTTAAAGACCAGAAGCTAGTATTTACCACCTGATCTACAACCAGGACCTTGCAGACAACAGCCATCACTGGGGTCTCACAAGGTCCCCAAGTACCACCACAGAGGCAGCCGTGTACCCACCAGCAGCTTTTTCCATGGCAGTGCTGAGGGCAGCATGACTCATGACCCAGTACTACTTCTTGCCCAGTCTCCCTCTCCCAGTCCCACTTTCTCCCTCCGCGCTCCAGCTGCCAGCCCTTGAGCCATGTTTCCGCACCCAGCATACCGGCAGGTTTGCAGCGTGGCAGGCAGGAGCCTGGGGAACAGGCAGGGGCAACATGACATGGTTGAAACATGAAAGACCTCCTGCACGTTGCAGCTGGAGCAGCTGCAACAGAAATCTCCCCAAAAGTCCCTGGGAAATGACAAACTGCTTTGCTACAACTCCTTTTATAACCAAACCACAAGGTTTGGCACAATAAACAAACATCAGGCTTTGAGAAGCTAAAGTGTAATGTGGAGGCTGGCAGAGAGCACAGAGATGGATGAGGTTTTGCTTAAGGACAGCAGTGATGGGCTGGATGTCCCAGCCAAGACCCTCACAGGGGGCTCCAGCCCCTCTGTGCCACCCAGTTACCTGAAGAACCCACTGGTGCCCAGCTGCACGGCTTCTATGCGAGAAGTGTTTGGATGCAAAACCTCCTCTGCTGGGGACATGGACACTGTCATCAGGACACATCCCCTGGTTGGACCAGCCTGGGGATTTTACCTGCTCCCTCCAGAGTTTGCTTCCCCCTCACTGCTCATGGGGGGATCCAGCAGAAGAGAGGAAGGTGAAGGTATAATGCTGGTAAGAGGGTGAGGCTGGGCTGGAGGGGCTCGGCAGGGAGAAGGATCTACCCCAGGTGCAACTGTGGGAAGGACTGGGCGAGCTGAGCTGGAGGGGAGCAGATGCTGCAGGGTCGGGCTGTGGGCTTTGAGGGTCTGAAGGCTGTAAACAGCAGGGGTGCTCTTAGGGAGTGAAAGAAAAGGGATTGGGAGGGGGACCCCTAGTCACTGTCAGCAGCCGAGTCCTGTGAAACCCAGCACCTGCTGCTTTGGCAGCCTCAGGGCTTCAGCTCTGGCTCCAGTAGACCAGAGCTCTGCAAGCCACTCCTCACCTCCCCATCCCCACAAAACTGCCCAGCTGTTTGCCGGGACAGACCCCTCCGTGATGGGGAGCCCCACAGCGCCCGGAAAGCCCCCACACCCTTCCCATTGTAAGCACTGACCTTTCAAGCAGAGAGGGGCTCGCTGCTTGCTGCTCCACCGAGCTTGCTGGGAGCGCCACTACCGCTCTCTGCCTCGATGTCCTCCTCCCCACAAGCTTACTGGAATTTATATCAGCTTTTTATTAATTAAGTGCCACAGCCACATGACTCTGCTAACTACCGGGTAGGTGGGCTTCTCTGGAAACCAGGCTTTGTCTGGATGGGGAGGCAGCCAGTGGGGCGATGCGTGGGAGTGGGGACTCCTTCTTTGCACCCCGCACGGCTGCAGGAGGAACAGATCCTCACTGGCCCCAAACTCCCAAGTTTCCTGGGAGTGGTCCCCACTGCCCGTCCAGGCCGCTTCCCTTTCCAGCCGTGCCTGAGCAGCTCTGAGGCTGCAGCCCGAGGACATCTCGTTCCCAGCTAGAGAAATACCAGGGCTCCAGGCCAAAGACACGCCGAGCTCTCCACTGGTTTTCAAAGGGAATATTGCCCACCCATAGCTCCTGGCAGGCACCCAGCCACAGTCAAGAGCCTCCAGAAGTCCTCCAACTCCTGACCACTTGCCATATGCAGATTCTTCAGGCTCCCACCTCTGCTAACTCTCTCTCACTCAGGTATCATTTGGAAAGCCTGCAGTTCCCCGGAGCCAGGTGCTCTCAAAGGAGTACATCCCAGGCTCAGCTCCGCCTTGAGAAGGAAAGAATCAGCTTCTCTGTTCTCCCCTGCCCTGACACTGGCTTTCACAGCCATCACACATGGTTCCTTGAGCTTCTCGGAGCAAGATTTTTGAGGGCCACTCCAAAACCCAGATGGAGCTGCAGCCAGTGCGGTGCGGCCTCAGTCACGGGCACCAGTGGAGGTGGCACCTCTGTGGGCTCTCACCAGCCAGTGCTGCAGGGGATGTGTGTTATGGATGCAGCATCCCATCCAGCACACCATGTGCCTGTTCTCGCTGTTTCAGCTGAGGGCTTCAGAGCAATGTTGGCATGTGTATGACAGGCAATTGTGCAAAAGGATACGGACCTGCAGCTCGGGTGCAGGAGAATAACAGAATCATCTTGGTTGGAAAAGCCCTTGAAGCTCCTCCAGCCCAACCATGACCCTCACCCTGACCGTTCCCAACTCCACCAGATCCCTCAGCGCTGGGTCAGCCCGACTCTTCAACCCCTCCAGGGATGGGGACTCCCCCCTGCCCTGGGCAGCCAATTCCAACGCCCAACAACCCCTTCTGCACAGAAATACTTCCCAAGAGCCAGCCTGACCCTGCCCTGGCACAGCTTGAGGCCATTCCCTCTTGTCCTGGTGCTGGTTCCTTGGCTCAAGAGACTCATCCCCCCTCTCTGCACCCTCCTGTCAGGGAGCTGTAGAGTGCGATGAGGTCTCCCGTCAGCCTCTTCTTCTGCAGAATAAACCCCCCCAGTTCCCTCAGCCACTCCCCATCAGACCTGTGCTCCAGACCCTGCACCAGCTCCGTTGCCCTTCTCTGGACATGCTCGAGTCATTCAGTGGCCTTTTTGTAGTGAGGGGCCCAAAACTGAACCCAGTCATCAAGGTGCAGCCTCACCAGTGCCGAGCACAGGGGTAAAGTGAAGGACCCATCCCCAAAACACAGGGGTCTTGCACTAGTGAAGAGGAACCAGGAGTGAAAGGTCAGCCCAAAGGGGTGGTGGGAGCTCATGGAGCCTCCACAGTCCCCCTTGTACCAACAGCAGCAGATCTGAGAGCTGTTTGCTAGAAACCTGGGTGCCAGAAGCCAGAAAGGAATCAGCTTTCCATTGGAAACCCAGCTGCACATACAGGGTGGCTAATGGCCCCTGTGCCCAGTACCCCAGGGGCTGCCAACTCCTCTGCTTCCCCACCAGCATCTCCCTCACCACCCTGCAGACTGCCCGCTCCCAGGGGAGCAGCTCAGCTGGGCTCCTTTCGGAAGCGCCTGTGGCCTTGGGTGGCTTCAGTCCTGCAAGGAAATGGGGGGATAAGGCATGAGCAGGGTTCAGTGGACTGTGATGTACTCAGCAAAGGGGGCTGATGGCCTGGGCCCTGCCCTTGCCAGGCTGCTCCCAGCCCCCGCATGACCAGGAAGGGTCTCCCAGGCCTCCAGCATGTCCCCAGCAGAGCGTGAGCCACCACTCCTGGCTGCAACACCAGCCCTGGGGCTCTTTTCAAGCCCCCCTCTGCCCCCCACACACCCCCACCCAGGCTGGCTTGGAGGGGACAGGCACAGCTCTGGGGAAGGGCTCCTCTACCGTGCTGTGCCCCTTCTCCTCCAGTTGCAGAGGCTGCTGGAAACACTCCGCACCCGCCTGGGTCCCCCTAGTGCACAGCACCCAGCCAGGCCCCCCCTGAACCCCCCACACCTGGACAAAGACTCAATTTGGCTTAGAGGCAGCTTTGGCAGCCCCCCTCTTCCATTCCCAGTCCCCTTCCCATTCCCAAAGCTCAGGTGGGTGCTGAGTGCCCCATCCAGCCCCATTCCTGCGGCAGGAGCTGGTGGGCACCTCCATCCTCACAGCTCCCCCATCCCCAGCCCCGGGGGGATGGGGTCCCCGCTCTGTGCTGCCCCCGGCCCCCCGCTGACGCCAGCCCCGGAGCGGGGCCTTCGGCCCAGCTCATTAGGGCCTGTTTGCAGCCTGCGGGCCGCGGGCGGGGGACTTCTGGGAAGGCATTAGCGGTAGCGAGGGCGGCCGTGCTGAGAGCTTTTTAATCTGCAGGAGCCTCGTCTGCTTTGTGCGCATCCCTACGGCCAGTAACAAGCTAAATGAGGCAGCCGGCCGCTCGCTGGGCCACTTCCAGGAAAAGAGGGCTCACAGCGAGGGGGGAGGAAATGGGGGCCAGGGCTGCGCCCCCGGCCCCGGCTCAGTGCTCCCAGCCCCGAGCGAGGGTGGGAGCGGGCGATGGAGCGGGGGTTGGTGACACAGCAGAGATGCCCGTGAGCGGCCCCCCGGGCAGGAGGGCAGCAGGGCGGGAGCCCCTCCCACAGTGGGACCCTCAAGAGACAACATTTAGCTCGTTACCAGCCCTCGTTACCGCTAGCGCCGGCCCAGGCCCCGCCACCCCAAACGGGCACCCATAGGCTGCGCTGAGGGCCCTGCCCGGTGGCAGCCCCCGGGCACGGGCAGCGCTGCCCGGGGCCTGCGCTTCGGGAGGTGCGATGAGCATCGCCCCGGCCTCAGCCCCGGCGGGAGGGGCACCGGCCCTTTAAGGCGCGAGCCCGGAGCTGCCCTGACGTCAGCGGGGCGGGCGCGCCCGGGCAGCCGCAGCC